AGTATTCATTTTATTACTCAGTTATTTGAGAATGATTTTCTTTGTTTTAGCCTTTAGCATTGTAGAAATTGAATTTGAAGATGAAATTGTACTTTTTCTTAGCATTATCCATCTGATACACAATAGGACATTGAGCATAATAATTATACCCCCTACATAACAAAGCTGCATAGGATATAATGTTTTTGATCTGTCAGTTCGTCCATCCATCAGTCCGTCAGTCCTGCTCTTGTCATCTCAACTGATCTGAAACCACACAACAGAATTCCAACTTTGTAGATAATTATAAAGGACATACTATGTAGATGTGCATATCCACAGGAAATTAACATTCTATTTTTTTTCTAGGAGTTATGCTCCTTTAAACTTAGAATTTTGGCCTAAATATACCACTGCAATAGTTTGTCTATGTAGATGTGCATATCCACAAAAACTAATTATCAGTTGACTTTTGTGGGAGTTATGAGTCTTTGAACTTAGGAATCTTGTGTTTTTGTTTTCCCAGTGACAATGTTGGGGGCGTGGGTTATGTGAGTGCTCTCACAAAGGTTCTTTAATTTTTACATTCATCTGTTTATCGGGTACACGTTCGACATTTAAGTCCTCTTAAAGCTACATAGAGCACTTTCATTAAATAGGATACTAGACTTATTCTAAAGTTGTGCATAGTAGGGGACTCCTCTTGAGATGACAGCTTCTCTGTCCTTGTGTTTCTAGGAGACAGCAACCCAACTTCTCCATGATTTACATTTTAACTTGATGTGAGATGTAAATAATAAGTAGATATGGGGGTAAACAGCAAAGATATATCAGTAATCCAGTAACATAACATCAACAATCCAGTAACATAACATCAACAAAGATATGTCAACAATCCAGTAACATAACATCAACAATCCAGTAACATAACATCAACAAAGATATGTCAACAATCCAGTAACATAACATCGACAATCCAGTAACATAACATCAACAAAGATATGTCAGCAATCCAGTAACATAACATCAACAATCCAGTAACATAACATCAACAATCCAGTAACATAACATCAACAATCCAGTAACATAACATCAACAAAGATATATCAGCAAACCAGTAACATAACATCAACAATCCAGTAACATAACATCAACAAAGATATGTCAGCAATCCAGTAACATAACATCAACAAAAATAGAGGTTTAGAGAAACTAGGTTTTTTAAGTTGTTGCCATTGGTTACCGTCTGCCATAGGTGCTAAATGTTTAATTACCTTAAATCAGGCTATTAGATTTGTCTGTAAGGTTATCCAGGATCTTTTATAGCTGACTATACAGTGTAATGGTTTATGCTCATTATTGATTGACTATACAGTGTAATGGTTTATGCTCATTATTGATTGCCTATACAGTGTAATGGTTTATGCTCATTATTGATTGACTATACAGTGTAATGGTTTATGCTCTTTATTGATTGACTATACAGTGTAATGGTTTATGCTCTTTATTGATTGCCTATACAGTGTAATGGTTTATGCTCATTATTGATTGACTATACAGTGTAATGGTTTATGCTCATTATTGGTTGACTATACAGTGTAATGGTTTATGCTCATTATTGATTGCTTATACAGTGTAATGGTTCATGCTCATTATTGATTGCCTATACAGTGTAATGGTTTATGCTCTTTATTGATTGCCTATACAGTGTAATTGTTTATGCTCTTTATTGATTGCCTATACAGTGTAATGGTTTATGCTCTTTATTGATTGCCTATACAGTGTAATGGTTTATGCTCTTTATTGATTGCCTATACAGTGTAATGGTTTATTGATTGCCTATACAGTGTAATTGTTTATGCTCTTTATTGATTGCCTATACAGTGTAATGGTTTATGCTCTTTATTGATTGCCTATACAGTGTAATGGTTTATGCTCTTTATTGATTGCCTATACAGTGTAATGGTTTATGCTCATTATTGATTGCCTATACAGTGTAATGGTTCATGCTCATTATTGATTGACTATACAGTGTAATGGTTCATGCTCATTATTGATTGCCTATACAGTGTAATGGTTTATGCTCTTTATTGATTGCCTATACAGTGTAATTGTTTATGCTCTTTATTGATTGCCTATACAGTGTAATGGTTTATGCTCTTTATTGATTGCCTATACAGTGTAATGGTTTATGCTCTTTATTGATTGCCTATACAGTGTAATGGTTTATTGATTGCCTATACAGTGTAATTGTTTATGCTCTTTATTGATTGCCTATACAGTGTAATGGTTTATGCTCTTTATTGATTGCCTATACAGTGTAATGGTTTATGCTCTTTATTGATTGCCTATACAGTGTAATGGTTTATGCTCATTATTGATTGCCTATACAGTGTAATGGTTCATGCTCATTATTGATTGACTATACAGTGTAATGGTTCATGCTCATTATTGATTGCCTATACAGTGTAATGGTTCATGCTCATTATTGATTGCCTATACAGTGTAATGGTTTATGCTCATTATTGATTGCCTATACAGTGTAATGGTTTATGCTCTTTATTGATTGCCTATACAGTGTAATGGTTTATGCTCATTATTGATTGACTATACAGTGTAATGGTTTATGCTCATTATTGATTGCCTATACAGTGTAATGGTTTATGCTCATTATTGATTGACTATACAGTGTAATGGTTTATGCTCATTATTGATTGTATGCTCATTATTGATTGCCTATACAGTGTAATGGTTCATGCTCTTTATTGATTGCCTATACAGTGTAATGGTTTATGCTCATTATTGATTGACTATACAGTGTGATGGTTTATGCTCATTTTTGATTGTATGCTCATTATTGATTGCCTATACAGTTTAATGGTTTATGCTCATTATTGATTGACTATACAGTGTAATGGTTTATGCTCATTATTGATTGCCTATACAGTGTAATGGTTTATGCTCATTATTGATTGACTATACAGTGTAATGGTTTATGCTCATTATTGATTGCCTATACAATGTAATGGTTTATGCTCATTATTGATTGCCTATACAGTGTAATGGTTTATGCTCATTATTGATTGACTATACAGTGTAATGGTTTATGCTCATTATTGATTGACTATACAGTGTAATGGTTTATGCTCATTATTGATTGACTATACAGTGTAATGGTTGATTGACTATACAGTGTAATGGTTTATGCTCATTATTGATTGACTATACAGTGTAATGGTTTATGCTCTTTATTGATTGCCTATACAGTGTAATGGTTTATGCTCATTATTGATTGCCTATACAGTGTAATGGTTTATGCTCTTTATTGATTGACTATACAGTGTAATGGTTTATGCTCATTATTGATTGCCTATACAATGTAATGGTTTATGCTCATTATTGATTGCCTATACAGTGTAATGGTTTATGCTCTTTATTGATTGCCGAACTAAAGTTTTTTATGTCCTTGTCCTTTGTGGATAAATTGTCCCATTGGCAGACATCTCCTTATTTTTATTTTGAAAATGGACAAGCACCAATCAAGATCTACACAAGTTGTGATTGTATGCATTGACCAAAGTTCTTGCATCAGTTTGACTAAAGCCAACCCCTACTATCCACAAAAGTAAGTAGGGGCTGGCTTTAGTCAGACAGGGATAAATTCTCAATCAAATAACAAATTGAGGAGACCCAGTAAGAAAGACATAAACAATTCATGACAGGAAACATATCTGATATTCAATTTCATGTGTATGCTTGAAATAGCATTCTGTTAAATTTCAGTTAAGCTTTGATATTCTATTTTTACATTTAACCCTGCAACAAAATCATATGATAATTTCTTTTGAAACAGCTGTGAATTTTGTTTTGTCTTTTTTTGTCCATTTTGTTGTCAAATTAAAACAAAAATGTCATTTCAGTTATCATGATTATACAAGGATTTTATGTCAGATTTAAATAGGGAATATCATGATATTAAAGTAACCAAGCAAAATTTTAAATTTTATTTTTACAATTAAAAGGAACAAAGAGGGACCATGTTTAATATTTTTAATCATTAGACCATTCACCTGTATTTGTGGTATATCAGTTTTCATAGCTATTTATCATCATTTTTTAAGGTCCATTGAAAGTTGTCAGTAATTTGTAAAATCTTAACATCTGCCACATGTACAGTAGGACAGGTGGTCTGTGGCGGGAATCTTTAATTTATGATAAATCTTCTTTTTATATTGTTTCCTGCTCAGGTGAAAATATCAAGGTGAAAAGATAATAAAACATTGATTTATTTATAGTAACCTGTTAAATAAAAACATCCTGAATAAAAATCTTATGTTGTCAAGGACGCAGATATATATCCTTAGAAATCTTTTTGTTTGTATTAATAAATGTTTTTCTTCCTTAAACTAATAAACAAATATTTTTGAGAGAAGTCAACATGCATTGAAAAAAAAAATAGTGAAGGCCTGACTGCTAGTTCTAAAAACACCTGTTCATCATGAAATCTCAGAAAATAGAATGTTTGACCATGAGAATATTGAGAACTTGATAGGTTTATATTCTATAGTTCAAAAATATCCTGGTTACAAGTATTATGTTTATTTTGAAACTAGTTTCACAATGATATTTCCTTTTGAAGATCTTATTACAGGAGTATATTTTGACAACATATATGTGTGGTCCCCTGAATTAACCTAATTACAACCCTCCTAATTACAACCCTATGAACAGAAACTGACAGAAAATGATCAAATCCTTCAGAAAGGAGATTGAATATCCTGCAGACAATAATAAGTTTTATACAGATTTTTAAAATTTCATTATAAGATTTGAGGTATCACTGATCATAGATATAACAATGGCTAAAATATCTATGCACTGATGAAGTTGTTTGTTGATAATAATATTTTGAATCATATATCCAGATATCTGACTGTTTGATGATCATTATAGTTTTGAATTATTAATATTCTGATTTCTTGCCATTCATTTTATTTCATTATCTGTCTTTTGTTTTTCAGATAGGTGTAAACTATCCATATCTATACAACGCTGACTTCCAATGTGGATAAAGTTGTGACATTGTAACAAAAGGTGTTAATTGTCATGTAAATATTTGCTCCAGAGGAAACAAATCTATGGAATAATCTGGTTACCATTCCATTAGAAACTCAATCATCTTATATTAAAAGGTAAGGAGTTCAAGATTTCATCTGCAGTTGGACATTTAGGGTTCAGACCAACAATTTTTACACAAAGCAATTATATATATATAGCAGCAGATGCAATGAACATCTAGTGTAACATAACTTCTGATTCCCTCAAGGTCATCCTTGTATGTATGGATATTTCTCTTCATTTTTACCACTTTTTACAATTTATTTATTATGTTAATGCTACACTTTGTTTGGACAGAAACACACACACACACATATATATTCATAATTACTCTAAATATCAGCACAACAATGTTAAATCTGCAAATTTGCGGAAGCATTTGTTCTTCCCTTGCTGGGATTCGAACTCTTGCTATATATATATATATATAAATAAGTCTAAATTGAAAACAACTTTCAAACCTATGATTGCATTGGATAAAAATCGCAATTTTTATACATGTGCATGCAAAACAAATTTCTTGGTAGAGGGGTTTAAATACAGCACAAACAACATTTTTCAAAAGACCAAAAAAGTGAAAAAGTATATTTAAACAAAACGCATATATATATAAATTACTGTCTGGTTTGGACTTAAATCCTGTATGATGAAGACCTGTAGATGTCTCTAAACTGTTATTAACCTTAAATCTCCTTTTTTTTACTTGGGTATCCTTGTACATTAGCCATTACTATGAATTGTTATCCATTGAGCATCATAAAAAAAACAAAAATCTTAATATTCTTTTTTCAATTTTGGTCTGAATACTTTTCATATTTGACGAAATCATGCAATAAGTTGTCTAATCATTTAAAATGAACATTACATTCTGACTTAATGTATATTTGACATTCCTTTTTGTGTTTGATTATTTGTTCATTTCATTATGTTTTGCATTTCTCACCCTCCTTCTGGAGGCAATAAAGAATATATATAGAGTAAAATATGGAGGCAATTACAAGTACAAATATGCAGAAACTCAAGGAAATTTAGAAATTTAAAAAAGAAAATCTTCATTATGATACCTCACTATTGTAAAATTTCAAAAAAGTAAATGAATTCCTATTTCAATGTCTTCATATAAATGCCAAATGGTCATAATTTATATATTCTATATTGGATTTTTATATTTTTCATTTTTTTTTTTTAATTTGAAATCTGAAATGAATATGATACCCAACAAATACTAAAGGATAATGATGTTAACAATTAGGGTTCACCATATCTCCACAGTTTAACTCTGTAGTATTACATAAAGTTAGTTATTAAATTTAGCTTGAAATCAAACTTGATGCTAACACTCTCTCATGGAATGTTAGAGAAGACTGCTAATTATACAGGGAGATAATCTCTTATAATTCCTTTGTTATGTTACAAATAATCTATCATCACAAGAAACCAGATGGACATCAAAAGATTCTCACCTGCTGATTACCTGGAAAATCAAACACAATTGATAAAATGTATTAAATATAATAACACCAGGATTTCATTATAACATCAAAATTAATTTGGTTTCTATATTTGGTTAGATAGATAATAGTGTTAATTTAATCATTTAACAAGTTTTTAATTAACATGATAAGTCAGGATGATCTTCAAAATTAACCTGATAAAAACAGGTAGATATTCAAAGCTAACCTGATAAAGACAGGTATATGTTTATTAACCTGGTAAAGACAGGTATATCTTAATTAACTTGATGAGACATGTGGATTGATTCATAAAAACCATGACTGTATTATTTATAGATGCTGATGATGATACACACAGGTGTGGTCGGAGTTATCTACCATGGATTATACCTGTAAAATTAAATAAGGTAAGGTTTTGTTTTATTATTTTGTTTTTCTTGTCACTCACTCATATTTTCAATGGCTAATTTTTCTATACAAATTTAAGGTTTTACATAAGAAATTTTTAAAGATTCTTTTGATTGGATGAAAAATTGTAGAAAAAGAGAATATGCAAGTATGTGATGAATTTTTTTTCTCTCCATCTAATCAATGTTTTTGTTTTTCTGTAAATGTATCTTCTTTTATGTTCTGCTTACTATCATCCTGTATCAACTTAGAATTTTAGTCTAAAGGGTTAATCATGAAGATGTGGTCAACTTATGTACATATGTTCATTATGATGGGAAATTTTAAAAATATACCCCAAATTAGGATTAGACCTAGATATTGTGGTTCACTGAACATGGAAATGTGAGGCATGGTGCCCTATTGACACACACTCTTGTTTCTGAGAATACTGATACTTTAACAAGTGAACACAAAGATGGATCTAGCCAATTCAGAAAGTACGATATATATATATATATTAGAATAAGAATAAGAATAAGGGTTAAATTAAATTTATATTACTTTCAAACAGAATGTGAATCAGAATTTCTAATAATAATATCCTTTTACCATTTCTTTAGAAACTTAGAGAAATAAACTATCTGAAGTTGGTACAGTGACTTATAGTTACTAATTTCTACATCATTTGGTCTCTGGTGGAGAGTAGTCTCATTTGCAATCATACTATATCTTCTTATTTTTATATAAACTGTATGACCAATGCTGGGTCAAACCCAACACTTTTCCCCTTCTTATTTAAATATAAACCGTATGACTAATGCTGGGTCAAACCCCACCACTTTTCCCCTTCTTATGAAGATGTCAAATTTGTAAAAGAAAAGCACATCACTTGTAAGGTTCACCATCTTTGAATGCAAATGAACGGTCAGGCCAAATCTGATACAGAAATTCTTATTATGATTGGGACTTTTCATTTAAATGACAAAATATATATGATTTTTTTCTTTTCTTTTCACTATTACAAACAATTTTATTCAGTCAACATTTTTTTTATTAATTTTTTATAATGGGAGATAACTCAGATGATTTATTTTTATTAGATCATTGGAAATTTCATAGTTAAAATTATTTTATAAATTGTAATGCACTACTTTCAATATCCTAAATGGAATAATTATCAGAAAGCGTATGATCAACATTTGGTAATTATACTCAACCTTACATTGATGTGTTGCTGACTTATTTAACTTTTTTATTCATTATTGTTCATCCAATATTGACAAGATAATGCTAGCAGATGAAGAATGATGATTTAGTATACTAGCTGCAAGATAAAGGGGCACCATTACTTTGACTAAAGTCTCTTTTTCTGTCATAATATTGGTACAATTCTTTGTTATCCTATGGTCACTGTATGGCCTCCTGTGAATGTCATCCTATAGTCACTGTATGGCCTCCTGTGAATGTCATCCTATGGTCACTGTATGGCCTCCTGTGAATGTCATCCTATGGTCACTGTATGGCCTCCTGTGATTGTTATCCTTTTATACTGAATAGAAATGTTACCACAGAATTTGAATATAAACCATAAAAATATATTGGTTAAAATATATTTGATAGTATTTATGTATTTTTTATGAAAGTAAGCTTTTTATGCCCCCACCGTAGCAGAGGGGGCATTAAGTTTTACCCTTGTCGGTCAGTCAGTCTGTTCGTACGTCCCGAAATTGGTTGCCGTTCTCAAACTTAAGTTTGCCTCAACCAAATGTTATGAAACTTATATACAATGCTTATTACCACACAACACAGATCAAATTTGAATTTTGGTGTTGTCACTTTTACCATTCTAGTTTTATGCCCCTTTACAAATGGAAAAATTGCTGAATTTTTTCGTTTCCCTTCTCTTACTTAAGTTTGCCTCAACCAAATGTTATGAAACATATACACAATGCTTATTGCCACAAAACTCAAATCAAGTACAAATTTGGGTAGCGTCACTTTTACCATTCTTGAGTTATGTCCCTTTATAACGTTATATGCAAGCGGGGGCATTATCTTTGTCCCATGGACACATTCCCCATTTTTTTTTTATCTTCCCTACATTCTGTATGAAAAATCTATTGACATCTTTTCTTCAAGAAAAATTGTTCTTTTTTTCCTCAAAAAATGTTATTAAGATATTTGGTACAGAAACAAACCACGCATTTTCAAATTTCATTTTATCTTTGCCTAGGAGTGTATTTCTCTTTGAGATTAATATGTCATGATAGCATGAGGAGAGAAAATCTCATAAAACTTTAATGCTTTTTCTGCAATTAAATGCAATGAAAACTGCAGGATTGATTAAGATAATGAATCATAATCTGTTTTTTATTCAATACTTGTGTAGAATAAAATATAGATTTGACAGTTTCAAGAGTTGCATGCATCACTTGACTGCACTTAAGTTTATTAAATTATTTATTAAAAAACTTTTTTCTGGAAACAATGGATAATTTAAACCTATTTCCTGAATATAAGTTTGATATTACTTTAGCGAGCAGTTTGATTGATTAACTCGGCAGGAACACAGCCAGAAGACTGATACAGTAGATTGATCACAAAACATAACTTTGTAACAACAGATGACATGTTTGTTCAAGGGTTAAATATATTTATCGATATTCTATACAAATATTCCTAATCTGTGGTACTTGTAAAATCAAATTAGCTGCTAACTTTTACTTTAACATGGTATATATAGTATACTGGCCTCTTTTCTAATGCAAGAAATACAAGAAACACAAATAAGTCTTAGAAAGATCAATCCTTTTATAAATGGAAAGGGTGGGTGGGGGGGCTTTTTAACAAAAAGAATTAAGATCATGGACAAAATGGTTTTGCTAACAGAACATAAACTAGAAGTGCCTTAAAATATTATTTACCTTTACTAAATAGCTTACATGTAACCCTATCCCTTAATCATCAAAAATTGTCTCCTTGTTTAAATTAATTGTCAAGGTCAATTTTAGGACTTCAAAAAGATGAATAAAAAGGCGACAAAAGTGGTTCTTATGATACATGTTTGGCATCCTGCCATTAATTTGATGTCAACGGTAGATCTTTAATAATATAGGTTAAATCCATTTACAACTGTGTACTAGTCTTCATTTAGAGCAGGATATTTGTTTAACCATGAAGACAGTATATTGGTTTAGATGTCTTTTTGTTGTATGTGTTGTCAGGTTGCTGTTTCATTGACATATATACCCTACATCTCTCCTTTTAATGCTTTATGCTATATTAACAATTTAACATGACTATCAACCAAGTCCTGGTGGCTTGATCAATTAAAGTTTGATCTGATAGAAAGTTTATATATTTACCGATTCTTTTCATGCATACAAATATAAAGCCATGTAGTGTAGTGAATTTTTAATGGTAATAGTTTGTTTTCATGATTAGCGGTAATAACAAGATAGCCATTGAAGTGATGAACAAAAGAAATGGTATTATACATCCAGTTAAATACTTAACTCTGTCTCAATACCAGGACGTCTATTGAATTATCCTTTGTGTTAAAGTAAAAGCCATTTAAAAGCTGGTTCAATCATCTCCACACTGATACAAACAGGAAAGATATCACTTTGACTAACGTTTACGACAATGGCAATCTAATGTGTCATTGATAACTAATTTTACACTGTCATTAAGTCTTAAGGCATCTTACAACTCTAAGTATGATAAATGAATGTAAAGGATTTTCTCAATATTTTTAAACTAAAAAAAGATAAATATGCTGTTAAATGGAGGAAGGATTGATTTACAAAAAAGTTAATCGATCTATTGTTAAATAAAATTGGTATGCCGTCCATCGGAATTATTTGCTCTATTTATGCATTAGTTCCACTGCAAAGTTGTCAAACATATCTTGACGTGACTGTCTAAATAGTTGTATTGCTTCTATATCTAACAATCATATTTTATTGGCAGTGATTGTACAGATATCTTGATGTGACTGTCTAAATAGTTGTATTGCTTCTATATCTAACAATCATATTTTATTGGCAGTGATTGTACAGATATCTTGACGTGACTGTCTAAATAGTTGTATTGTGTCTATATCTAACAATCATATTTTATTGGCAGTGATTGTACAGATATCTTGATGTGACTGTTTAAATAGATGTATTGTTTCTATATCTAACAATCATATTTTATTGGCAGTGATTGTACAGATATCTTGATGTGACTGTCTAAATAGTTGTATTGTGTCTATATCTAACAATCATATTTTATTGGCAGTGATTGTACAGATATCTTGATGTGACTGTCTAAATAGATGTATTGTTTCTATATCTAACAATCATATTTTATTGGCAGTGATTGTACAGATATCTTGATGTGACTGTCTAAATAGTTGTATTGTGTCTATATCTAACAATCATATTTTATTGGCAGTGATTGTACAGATATCTTGACGTGACTGTCTAAATAGTTGTATTGCTTCTATATCTAACAAACATATTTTATTGGCAGTGATTGTACAGATATCTTGATGTGACTGTCTAAATAGTTGTATTGCTTCTATATCTAACAAACATATTTTATTGGCAGTGATTGTACAGATATCTTGATGTGACTGTCTAAATAGTTGTATTGCTTCTATATCTAACAAACATATTTTATTGGCAGTGATTGTACAGATATCTTGACGTGACTGTCTAAATAGTTGTATTGCTTCTATATCTAACAAACATATTTTATTGGCAGTGATTGTACAGATATCTTGATGTGACTGTCTAAATAGTTGTATTGTTTATATATCTAACAAACATATTTTATTGGCAGTGATTGTACAGATATCTTGATGTGACTGTCTAAATAGTTGTATTGTTTATATATCTAACAATCATATTTTATTGGCAGTGATTGTACAGATATCTTGATGTGACTGTCTAAATAGTTGTATTGTTTATATATCTAACAAACATATTTTATTGGCAGTGATTGTACAGATATCTTGATGTGACTGTCT